TATATATATCAACTAATAGACTCTATACCATAGGCATAGGAATGCCTGTTTGTTAACTTAGAAAAGTATCTGTAGGCCAGGCTGGCAGTGCACACCTTTGATCCCAGCACTGGGGAGGCAGAGGCAGGCAGATATCTGTGAGTTCAAGGTCAGCCTGATCTACATAGTGAGTTCTAGGCCAGCTGGGGCTAAAGGGAGACCTCAAAAGAAAAAAAAAGAAAAGTATCTGTACATGGCAGGTGTTCTGTAAATATTGGCTGTCATTATTCAGCAAATAGTTACAGAGTATTTGACCCAGGTAGTGTGCAGATTACACTGTGAGCATGATGTGACCCTTACCCCTTATACTCAGTATGTTTCTGGGGTTTAGATTACATTAACATTTGCCGCATTGATTTTGACTTGTTATTTCTTACATTTTGTTTTATAGTTGAAGTCAAGTGATTTTGCAGTCTTGAAGGCGCTGCTGCCTCTGTTGGAGAAGGTCTCCAACACGTACCCCGACCCTGTCATCCAGGAGCTCGCTGTTGATCTCCGCATCACCATCTCCACCCACGGAGCCTTTTCCACTGAGGTTGTCAGTATGGCTGCCCAGAATACCCTGAACAAAAAAGATCCAGACAGGAAAGTAGAAAAGCAGCAACTAACCAGTCGTGACACATCCACAGAGGTAGCTCAGAGCCACCCTGCACAAGAGCAGAGCTGTAAGAAGGCCCCCCAAACAGGCCAGGAGTCTAATGCCCCATTCATTCAATCTAAGGAGTTCAGTGGGCGCAGCACTGATAAGAACCAGGAACCTGGAAGCGTAACCAAAGAACAACTCCAGGAGGTTCTTTTATCGGCCTTTGATCCTCAAATTCCAACACGAGCTGCTGCCCTGCGTACTCTTTCCCGCTGGATAGAGCAGAGAGAAGCAAAAGCCCTCGAGAAGCAAGAGAAGCTTCTCCAGGTGAGTAAAACACACTGCAGTACACGTGGGCACGGGGCAACAGGGCCAGGAGCGTTGACTGTATGTCAGGCACTGCTTAGATTTTCCTCCCAGAACTTAAAATGTTGAGGTGCAAGACTGAGATAGGAGGGATTTGGACCACATGGGACTACTCAAATGAACATGAACAGAGTGCCAGAACTTTATATGTAGGAGATGTGGTGGGCAGTCAGGAAAAAGAGACTTGAAATCTTTTGGGGGAGGGAGATCTTTAATGGCCTTAGCAAACTGGTAAAATCTGAGTGTATAGAAAGGGAGTAGGCCAGCATGAGCAGATTCCCAGACAGGGCTGGAGAGCTGGCTCAGCGGTTGAGTATGCTGACTGCTCCTGCAGAGGACCGGGGTTCGGTTCAGCACCTACATGGCAGCTCACAGGTGTCTGTTACTCCATTCTAAGGAACTTGACACCCTCTTCTGGCTTCTACAGGCATTACACATGTACGATGCACTTACATACCTGCAGACAAAACACTTATACATACTTATACATACATACATAAAATAAAATAAATTCTTAAAAAATTTTCTCAGAGATGGAGAAATACCCATCCAGATTGGCTCTCCTTCATTCTCCTGCCTCCATCACACTGAAAAGCTGTCCTTTAAATTCTAGCCAAATATAGCAGAATGCATAATGTTTAGTGGGGGGGTCTTTCCCTTTTGTGGAAATTATCTGGACCTGAATATGGGTTATAGGTAAGAATAGGGGTCCAGAAACTACTACCTGGGGCCCAATCCCAGATCAGCTTCTTGGACAGCTCACTCAGACCTTTTGAGCCTTGATGGAGATCTATATGCCTAACCATTAGACCACAAATTACAGTTGTGGTTGAGAGCACCTATTTTAGTTAATAAAGCATTGGAACCAATTGTAATAATAATGCAAACTGTTCTTTATTGAGCCAGGCCATACACCTTACAGACACTGTCTAAGCCTCATAATGACTTCAATATTAGTGTTATTCCCCATTTTATAGATGAGGAAACCAACACGCAGAAATATGTCAAGGATTTTCTGACTCTGAAATAATGCTAAAAACTCAGGAGTTTTAAATAATCATTAACAATATCCCTTGATGTATGAAATTAGGTAGTAAGTGCTATGAATATTTTTGGAATTTTCATTAATTTCATTTAATTTCATCCACCTTCATCCATAATTGGTCACAAAGTTCTGCCAATTACTTTTTTTTGCCAAGAAGTCCCATAAATGTATCTCCTACCCTTTTTTGCATGTTGTCTTAGTTTGTTTCTCCACTGCTGTGACAAAACGCTCTGACCAGTACCAACTTGGGGAGGAAAGGGTTTATTGTCTTACATCTCCCAGGTCACAGTTCATCAGGGAGCCCAAGGTAGGAACTCAGGGCCGGAACCTGGAAGCAGGAGCTGGAGCACAGGCCATGGAGGAACACTGCTTACTGGCTTGCTCCCTTGGCCCCTGCTCAGCCTGCTTTCTTATGCAACACAGGCCCACTTGCCCAGGGGTGGTACCACCCACAGTGGGCTGGGCCCTCCCACATCACTCATCAAGAAGATGCCCTTCAGACATGGCCACAGGCCAGTCCAATAGAGGCAGTTCCCTGATTGAGGCTCCCTCAACTCAGGTGTGTCAAGTTGACACTAAAGCTATCCAGCACACATGTATATCTGTGTGTGTGTGTGTGTGTGTGTGGTATGCATGCATGGGTAGCTCTGTACAGGTGGGTGCACGTGTGTATGTGCACATGTAGGCCATAAGTCAGCATCAGGTGTCTTCCTTCATCACTGTCCATCTTATTTTGAGCCAGGGCCTCTCCCTGAATATGGAACTGATTGTCTAGGCTGGCTGGCAAGCCTCTGGAGTCATCCTGTCTCTACCTATTAGTGCTGAGCTTTTTTTTTGTCTTTTTGAGACAGGGGCTCCCTGTAGCCCCAACTATTCTAGAACTCCCTATGTAGATCAGGATGACCTCGATCTCTCAGAGATCCACCTGCCTCTGTCTCCTGCATACAGGGCTTAAAGGCATGCACACCACACCTAGCAGTGCTGATTTTTAACCGGGTGCTGCAGATCCTCAGGTCCTCATACTTGCCTAGCAAACATTTTACCCACTGAATGATCTTCCCAGCCCCTATTCTTTTGTTTTGTTTTTCTTTCCTTGTTTTTTTGAGACAGGGTCTGATGTTGACCAGGGTAGCCTTGAACTTGCTGCATATCTGAGGGTGATCTCGAACTCCTGATCCTCTTGCCTCCACCTCCCATGTGCTGGGATTACAGTTCGTATCCCACCATACCTGATTTGTTTTTGTTTTAAATTTTATGTGTATGGGTGTTTTGCTTGCATGTATAAAAGTGCACCATGTGCTTGCAATGTCCACAGAAGCCAGAAGAAGGCATTGGATCACCTGGAACTGAAGTTATGGATGGTTGCTAGCTGCCATGTGGGTGCTGGGAACTGAACCCAGGTCCTCTGCAAGAGCAGCCAGTGCTCTTAACCGCTGAGCCATCTCTCTAGCCCATTTTGTTTTTGTTTTGACTTTGAACTGCCGATCCTCTTGCCTCTACATCCCAAGTGCTGGGATTATAGGCCTGCACCACCACACTCTGCTCACTTTTATTTTTGTTTTTAATTAATTTGGTTATTGTACAAAGAAATGGGTTTTATTGTGAAAATTTCATATGTCATGTTATTATTTTTTGTTCCTAATTTGTCTCCTGTATTGGTTACTTTTCTCATTGTTATGCCAACAAGCAACTTAAGGAAGAAAGGGCTTATTTTAGCTCAAAGTTCAAGGGTACAGTCCAACATGGCAGCAGGAGTTTGGGTAACTGGTCACCTTCTGTCTGCAGTCAGGACACACAGGGAGATGTCTGCTCCTGCTGAAGTTATTTTGTGCAGGGGAATGGGGGGCAATGCATGTGTGCCACAGTACGTAAGTAGAGGTCAGAGGGCAGCCTGCAGGAGGACGTTCTCTCTTTCCACTATATGGGTTCCAGGCACTGAACTTAGATCATCAGGTTTGGCAACAAGTGCCTTTTTTTTTTTTGCTGAGCCATCTCATCTCACTGACCTGCTTTTTATTCAATCAGGGGTCCGGGCCCATAGAGTAGTGACGCAGTTAGGGTGGGTCTTCCTACCTCAGTTAATTCAGTCTAGAAACTCCCTCTCAGACACACCCAGAGGTTTGTTTCCACAGTGACTCTTAACTCTCATCAAGTTGACAAGATTAATCATCACAGGGCTGGAGAGATGGCTCAGGGGTTAAGAGCAGTGACTGCTCTTGCAGAGGACCCGGGTTCAATTCCCAGCACCCACATGGCGGTTACAAACCGTCCTTAACTCTAGTTCCAGGAGAATCTGACACAGGTGCACTCACATACATGCAGGCAATACACTCATACACATAAAATAAAAATAGTAAATAAAATAAAAAAGATTAAGCATCACATCTCCCCCAGCTGCCCTCCCTGTCTCCCTGCTTAGTGAATCCTCCTTCTGCTTTCACAACGTGTATATTTCATTACCCTTTTTTGTTCCTCTCTCCCCTCTCTCTTTTAGACTCATTAATTATTTCTGTAAAGTCCTTCACATAGCTCTTATTCTTTAATCCCATGGCTACCACCCTGGATTAAGTTGCCTTGACTCCAGATACAACCTCACCATCTTCCCACCTCGTTGTCTTCCCATCTGGGCTAATCTGCAGCTCTCCCTCGATAATATTCCTTAGATGCAGGAACCAGCAGCACGAGGTTAATAGCAGTTATCTCTGTCTGACAAAGCACACAGCACTGTATGTGCAGCAGACACCCCTTCCTTCCCCCAGTCATCAAGCAGGAGGAACGTGAGCACATGTGGACACATGCTGCTATCTTGCCCCGGCTCTCATGTCAGGGTCTCAACCTAACCCACTATCATAGTATCTTCTTGATAAACCATGCCACAGTTGACACCCTGGTGAGTCGCTAAATTGAGATATAATGAGAATAATTTGTTACTAGTGTCAATTGAGGAACTAAAATTTGCAAGTTAAAAAAAAGTATAATGGATTCAAAATTACCTCAATAACACCTGTCTCTCTTGACAATTCCATGTGCTTTGTTAGAGCAATGGAAAAGGATCAGATTACAGCAACTGTGCCAGTAGTTGCACAAAACCCAACATCTGGCCTCTTGTATTGAAAATGTTGTCCACCATGGACTAGCATAGCAAACTGTTGAGGATTGTTCTTTCCTAAAAGCTTTTATGGGGCTGGAGAGGTGGCTTAGGAGTTAAAAGCATTTGCTGTTTTTCCAGAGGACCTGGGTTCGATTCCTAGTACCCATGTGGTAGCTCTCTCACCCTCTTCTGGCCTTTATGGGCATTATGCACATACCAGTAATAAAAACATACTAGCAATCAAAACACTTGTACAAATAAAAATAAATCATTTAAAATTTTTTTTATCTTTATTATTGTGTGTATATGATGTGTATGTGTGAGCACAGGGACGCATCTGCCACAATAAGCATGTGGAGGTCAGAGGACAACTTTTGGGAATCGATTCTCTCCTTCTACCTTGGGATTGGGTAAAAGGAGGCTCAGTTTTACATGTCAAGTGCTTTTTACCTGCTGAACTGTCTCGTTAGACTGAGGACT